GATTAAGATGAGTTAATCTCATTAAAAAAACGTTTCAAAAACATAAACTACTTAAGATACGTAGATATTTGTTTCTTTTTGATAATTTATGATGAATTAATACATGAATTATATGATTACAAGCTAGAACATTATTAATTATTTTTTTATGATTAAATATTTATAATATTACACCATCAGTATATAAAATTTATTTGTTTATCGACTAGGACGTGAGTAATTATTTTTTGTATGATTAAATGTTTATAATATTATACTATAGAAAAAGACAAAATATTTAATCTAACGTTAATATGAAATCATTTTAAAAGTTTTAATTTAAAAAATATATTTAATCGTAATAATAATAATTATATGTATCAACAATTTACAAGTAACGAATGTTTTTAAAAATAATATAATTTTCAAATAATTTAATATTTTTGGTAGTATACTTTTTTTTTTTAATTTAATAGTTTGATTATAATTTTGATATATTTGAAAAATAGACAATTTTGGCTTTCCATAGTTTTAATCGTTCAGTTTTCTATTACACCATTAAACCTTTTTACTTCATTTCTAGCTTCTTCAATTAATTTATATGTAGGTAACTTTTTTGCATTTAATTAATATTGTTTAATAACGAATTTCAATTCTCATATGTCTATATGTAATTATAATGAAGAGATTTTCATCACTTCTTTTATATATTTCTACAAAATGATCAAGAAGCATTTATTTTTTCTAATATTTAAATTTGTATTTTTCTTAACTTTTTAACTTTTTTTAGTCCACATGTCACTAAATTTACTAATTAAGAAATTTTTACATTGGTAAAATATAATACTTTTATCATTTGGTAATACGAATGTAATTGAGTAAGACAAGTTTTATTCTAAATACAAGTTATATCCCATACATTACATTTTACATTTACATTTTTAAATTTTTAAAAAAATATAAGTTTAATAGGAACTTTTTTATGTAAAAATTTAAAAAGTAATTTGAATATTAAGTGGAGTGATCTTATGTATAAATTGTAAGAAAATATTTTAAGATGTATAAATAAATTCAATAAATCAAAATAAATAAATAAAAATAAAGTTTTAAATACCCCACTAAATAAATTACATAAACAGAATAATAAATTAAATAAAAATTAGAAAAGGGCACATGATTAAGATAAATAAATATAATGAAATTAAATATGTAAAAAAAATTATAAATATCTAGTTTCTCTTACCTCAAAACAATTAATTTGTTCAAATAAAACTCTAATTCTTAATGGGTTGAATAATATCTCCAAACTATTTCAAAATCATGATGAATTCAACTTTAAAACTCTCTTATTTCACTTTTTCTCTTACTGTTATTATTATAATATATTTTTTCATATGGATTCACAAACATATTATAGCACACTCATTTTACTATTTAAATATTTTAATATGTAATGATTAGACCATAATTCAATATTTTAATATTTTAATATATAATGATAAAATCATCATTTAATATTTAAATATTTTAATACCTAATGATATTTCACACCTTATCTTTAATACAAATTATATTTCTTATTACAAAACTCTAAAGGCAAATCAAGAGTGAAGAATACTATTTTAATAACATGTAAAATTTTTAGTTTGACCAATTATTAATTAAGTTGAAATCAAATTTTACTGATGTAACTCGAAACAGAAAATATGTGATATTCTGCAAAAATTATATCTCTAACTACAAACTTCTCAATGGAAATCTGGTTAAAACGAAATATTATGTCATAAAAACTTTTGATAAAATTTTCATCTCAATCCAACAGTTAACGAAGCATAAATAAAATTTTTACCATGACAACTTATAGTTAGATAGTATGTGAAGATCTAACTTTTATACTAAAATGCAAAATTTAAGGAATCAAAGTGGAGAACTATATTTAAATAATACTATATAAAAGTTGTAGCCCAATCCAAAGGTTCATGATACTATGATCACAATTTTACCATTACAACTTAAGAACGAGAGCTAGTTGACACCTTAAAACTATTCTCTTATATTTTAAATCTTTTTCATAATTTATCAATTTACTTATAAAAACATATTTAAATAAAAAACTTAAATATAGTTAAATAAAAGAAAAGGTGATACAATTATATATAAATATAATGTTGGGTATTCAAGTGTGAGTCTAAGTCCCACATTGGATAGAAATGAGAAAGTAGAGCCGTATATAAAGATAAAAGACCCATTAATTCATTGTCTTAAGGTTTTGGGTAAAGAGTGGTGTCGATCCTTGTATAGTTGGCTCCAATGTTATTAGTGTTTGTGTTTTTTTAAAAAAATATTATACATAAGATAACATGCTTTTTTTAATGAAAATATTATACTTAACATCTTGATGTTACACAGTTGATCATTTGAAAATTTTAGCTTTGTTAATATTCTATTTTGCATAGGGATGCAAAAAGATTAACAAATGGGCACGTGGTAAGACGACGTTTTTTTTATAAATTCAATAATATTGTACATAAATATAGATCAAAACTAAATATGATTATTTAAATATATCGAACTATAGGGTTAATCTTTCAATGCAATAACTTTGCCTAGTATATTCTTCTTAGTCAAGTCAATCCATAGTTGATCAAATTTTATTTTAAAAACAAGTGAAAGTATATTCGAATGGTCTCTTAAGGTTAAGTTCAACTTATTCAATAATCTCTATATTCCTGGCCATGTAGGGATTGCAAGTAAAAGTAATAAATCCAACATGGCTAAAAATTGTCATTCCATCAAAATACAAGTGATAAACCTTCATTCGTGTGGATCCAACATGTTTTTTTAGTGTTAGGACTTTAAGTGTGAATCTAAGTCTTATGTTGAGTAAAAATGAAAAAGTAGAGTATCATATAAGGTTGAAGATTCATTAACTATTGTCTTAAGGTTTTTGGTTGAGAGTTGTGTGAAAGTGATTTTTAAGCCTAATTCAACCCAACAAAACCAGCGTGTAAGGTAAGGTTTGCACTCCACTTATATATTATAATTTGATCTTATCTTTAGTCGATGTGGGACTTCCAACATAATCCCTTATGTAGTTGAACTTATATCTCATTGAGCTCATACTTCATTAGTAATATGTATATTTCTGGTGAATCTTCTCTTTGATAAACCCGACAGTGAGTTAATTAACCCATTGCCTATATTACAACTTATACAACTACTTCGTTAAATGCTTGCCTTAATGATTGAATTCCATTGTCTATCTCATTTTCGATATCATAGATATAAAACTGTTCAAACTTTGGTACCCCTCCAAGTAGTGGTAGTAGACTTCTAATCAAATATCATGTTAACAAAAATTTAATGATCTAAAATAAGTTGTAATCAACAATAATAAATGATGACAATAAAAAAAATGGATTAAAGGGAAATAACGTCAATAATAATATTTTCTTAAGGTAATAGAAAAAAATCTTTAGGCCTGACGAAATGAAAAAGAATAGTGAAAAATAACTAATGAACTTTCATCTCATATTGAAAGGGAAATAATCATCACACTCATAACATATTACAGATACTGAAAATCAACTCACTTAACCTGTGTGTCATTATTTAAAGAAGGGATAGTTCTAAAATTTCAAAGTAGTAATCTTTCTTGGTATTGTACTTCAAAAATTAAATAAAAAATATTATTTATTGACTTGATAGTCATTTGTAGATAAAGTACTACTCAAACATTTTATGTTTAACTTTTACTATCATCAATATAATAACTCAAACTCAAACATTTTTTTAATGAAAAGTTTAATAAAAAATTATTTAAGTTCTGGCAAGAAAACAATTGTTGGCACGTGTTTACAACATAAACATTTAAAAGAAAAGAAATAAATAAGAAGTATTACATATATTATTTATTTGCCAAAAGAAAAACAAAAATAATTTTTAAAATTAAAGAATTTCTGAAATTAATAGTTATATACATGATTTTATATTTTTATACATTACATATGATACGTTAAGTTTTTTAGTAATATTAGATTTGTATAATTGAATTAAAAGTTAAAGAAATTCTAAGGGCCATTGCTTCATGCGCTCCCTTGTTTTCTTGCAGCACCTCCTTAGTCCTTAAAATATTAGTTATTCCAAATAAAAAATAGTGTTTTTCATTTTTCAATTTTAGCTCTGAATTGTGTAATTAAAAAATATTTCGGATTATACATAGGAAGGAAACGGAGGTGAAAGATTAGGAACTGCGTACAAGAGAAAAAGTTGGGTAAAACTGTTATTTCATCGTGTATATAGGGGGTGCATCAAGAAAACACGGAATTCTTGAACGAATGGTCATTATAAGAGTGGGGAGAATTATATAATTTTGGACTTCCAATAAATTTATTAAGCCCTTTTTAGCAAGAGAAAAAGATAATTATATTGTATCCATTAATTACAACAAGCAATTTTGATGAAGAGGTTTGGTACAATTATACTAACAAATTAAATAAAAGTATTATATCTCATTTTAATGGAAGTATTTTAAATAAAAAAATTAAAATTTCATTTTTTAAAAAAATTAATATCTGAAATTGAAATCTATGAATACTATTATTGTAAAAGAGTGTTCTAATTTAAAAGGTTACTTGAGTTAACCTATAAAATAGTGAACCCATCAAATTAGCTAATAGACTCATTTAAAAAATAATCGTTACTTCGTATTCTAAAAATATATATAGATTAAAGCAAATCATCTAAATAAATTAAAGGAAAAATAATTTCTTAACTTACATGAATATTTTATATCAATTCATAAACATTTCGATATTACATATAACCCACAAAAAATTTATTGAATATGTTCACATTATTAAAACACGTTTTTAATAAAAAAAAAATATTACATACATTATTGTTTTACTTGAATTTGCTATCAAGTCCTTATTTAACAACGATTTACATTAATAACTAATCCTATAATTGTTCTTTTACAACAAGTAATTGTATAAATAAATTGTCTAAAAAAATTTAAATTATTCTTTTTTAGTAGTTGGAGCTGTACACTCAGGAACTTTCCCTGTTATTTTGGGCTTGACATTAGAACACGTAGCTGTTGCCGGAGCTCCATTAAATGTGAGATCAACATTAGATATCTCTACACCCTCACATGGTACACCACTGCTACAAGCAAGAACAAGTCCTTCTTTAGTTCCCGAAGTTCCCTTGATATTCTTGATGATAACTTTACTTATCTTTATTTTCGATGGATTCTGAATCATCACAACAATAAGAGATACGATAAAAGTTAGGTTTTTAAGTCACATCAGTGCAAGAAATGTTTTTGAACAAAAAGAATAATGTCAATGTGTACATTAATAAATAAGGAACTAAATACCTGTTTGGAGCATTGATTCCATGGACAATACTCTTGGTCTATGATAACAGGGTTCGAAACATTGTCCATGGTAATATCTTCAAATTTCATGTCTGTAACTGTAATTGTTCCTGGCTGATTAGGCCAAGTCTTAATCCTCACTCCATTAGTAGTTCCTTTCAAAGTGCAACCCTTAACTGTGACACCTTCAACAGGCTCTTCTTCCTTGTATTTGCCAAGGCTTCCAATACTAATACCATGACCAGGTCCACATGTCACATTTTGCACAAGTATTTGTCTACTACCGTCACCTAGTGAGACACAATCATCTCCAGTGGCAATCTGTGTATTAAGAACATTCACACCGGTGGATCTTCCAATGTGGATGCCATCGGTGTTGGCACTATCACCTGGAGCAGTTACTTTAAACCCATCAAATGTGAAATTGTTGCAGCCCAAAACATTGACATGAAAGTGTTTACTATCCTTGGTTGTGATTCCACGAACTATTGAATTATTGATGAAATTGAAACCCAAATTCTGTTGACATTTCATAAAAGAATATAAAAAATAATGAATTTAATTTTTATAAATGCACAAGTCGTGTTATATTTTATTTGATTTTTGATAATAATACTTATTTACCATGCCAAGCAATTTGCATTTGACTTGTTTTGAACAGTCATTCTGTTTCCAAGCATATGAACCTTGACCATCAAAAACTCCATTACCAGATATGGTTAAGGAGTTAACATAGCCGATCCTAAGCAATTGATCACCTCCAACGTCCTCTGGCTTTACAGGTGCTTTAATTGTGCCGTCAACTTGAATTTCAATAGGAGCCTTGCAAGGACCTTTTACATCTACATGAGTCATTTGATATGTTCCACTTGGAATCACTATTTTAACAGCAGATGTGGATGCACATGCTTCAGCCCAAGCACTTGTAAGAGCCTAGTCAATATAAAAATAATACATTATTGAAACACATTGTAATAGTAACCAAAAAATCTATGACTTGCGATGAAATGTGTTTTATTTCTCATCAAAACAATAGCATATCTTTCTTGTTCAATCTAAAATGGCATACCTTAGCTATATCTTGATTTGGTTTTCCTCCAAATTTTGATATTTCAAGAGTAGCTGATTGAACAAAAATAAAATTAATGGTAGAAAAAAATAAAAATAATAAAATCAAAGAGAACTTCATATTTTTTTTTGTTTTCGATTATTTCACACTCTCACTTGTGTGTTGAATGATTTAATTTTCGAACTACGTAACTTTATTTATAGTCACCTAGAAAGGATTAAAGACCATTAATATTATATGCAACTTGAATGCAAATTATCATCCACATGTGTATTTTTCCTTTTTTAGTTGTTAGTATATATTTAGGATACACTTAGTCACCTAAAAAGAATTAAAGACCATTAATATTACATGCAACTTTATGCAAATTATTATCCACATGTGTATTTTCCCTTTTTTTTAGTTGTTAGTATATATTTAGAATGCATTTATTTACTATTAACTTTACACCACCTATTACCATCCTATTCTTATATTCTCCCTATAAAGTATATATCAATGTGGGAAAAATAATGTAATTTAGGTAATATGTTTGATTGAGTCAAGTATTTTAAATTCATTACATAGTTTAGTTATCAGAATTAAATTCTTAAAACTCTTTCTATTTAGATAAGTTTTTTTTAAAACTTTAATATTATATTTAATTTAAAATATTAATTTAATTAATTAATATAATAAAAAATATATTCCACTAAAATTAGTAAATTCATTATTATAATTATCTAATTAAATTATATTATTATAAAACTTGAATCATTTAAATAATATAAGTATTAAAAAAATTAAAATATACACTATTATACGTATAAATTTATCATTATAAAATTAATTAATTAATGAATTAATTAATTATATATATAACATATATTTGGATAAGTGTCACCACAAAAATTTATAAAATTGTTTTTTTCTTAGTTTGTAAATGATATCTCAAATTGGAAAAGAAAAATTATTAAGAAAAAATTACTAGTTTTCAACACCCAATTTTGTACGAGTAAATAAAATTTATCACAAAAATAAATATAAAATTTTTAACCCATAGTCCAACGAGTCAAAATAATCTCGTACATTTTTACTTACTCACCATTTTTTTCTTATCACACCCACTTTTCACATCACCCTCCAAATAACCATTTTTTTTTTCATTTACTATTACATTTTTAATATATTTATTTATTTTTTTCTCTCCTAACTTTTCTAATTTTTTCACTTACTTTTTTTTATTATATTTTATTTCACCTACTTTCTCCACCAACTTTTTATATTATTTCTTTCACTTATTTTTCACATTAACTTTTACTATTTACTATATTTTATTTCACCTATTTTCTCCACCAATTTTTTATATTATTTCTTTCATTTATTTTCCACAATAACTTTTTCTATTTATTTTTTATTATATTTTATTTTACATAATTCTCCACCCCTTTTTATATTATTTCTTTCACTTCTTTTCCCATTAACTTTTACTATTTACTGTATTTTATTCACCTCTTCCTCCACCAACTTTTTATATTATTTCTTTCATTTATTTTCACATTAACTTTTACTATTACTATATTTTATTTCAGCTAATTTATCCACCCACTTTATATTATTTTCTTTCACTTATTTTTCACGTTAACTTTACTATTTACTTATTGTTATTTCACCTAATTTTCTCGACCCACTTTTTCATATTATTTCTCTCACTTATTTTCCACCTTAACTTTTAATTATTTACTATATTTTATTCACCTAATTTCTTCACCACTTTTAATATTATTTCTTTTACTATTTTCCACATTAAACTTTTTCATTTTTTCAACTCATTTTTTTAAAATTATATACATTCAACCCTTTTCTCTAATCAATAAACTCTAAAAATACTGACTTCTTTCACTTCATTTACACACATCCACAACATCCTTCTCTTCTCTCTCGTACTACAATATTTCCACACATTTCTTCTCTCCCCTACTATCATTCTTCTACACACACCACAATCTTCACATACACATAAAATAGTAACCCATCAAATGAGCTAATATACTCATTCAAAAATAATCGTTACTTCGTATTCTAATAATATATAGATTAAAGCAAATCATCTAAATAAATTAAAGGAAAAATAATTTCTTGACTTACATGAATATTTTATATCAATTCATAAACATTTCGATATTACATATAACCCAAAAAAAATTTATTGAATATGTTCACATTATTAAAACACGTTTTTAATAAAAAAAATATTACATACATTATTGTTTTACTTGAATTTGCTATCAAGTCCTTATTTAACAACGAATAACATTAATAACTAATCCTATAATTGTTCTTTTAAAACAAGTAATTGTATAAATAAATTGTCTAAAAAAATTTAAATTATTCTTTTTTAGTAGTTGGAGCTGTACACTCAGGAACTTTCCCTGTTATTTTGGGCTTGACATTAGAACACGTAGCTGTTGCCGGAACTCCATTAAATGTGAGATCAACATTAGATATCTCTACACCCTCACATGGTACACCACTGCTACAAGCAAGAACAAGTCCTTCTTTAGTTCCCGAAGTTCCCTTGATATTCTTGATGATAACTTTACTTATCTTTATTTTCGATGGATTCTGAATCATCACAACAATAAGAGATACGATAAAAGTTAGGTTTTTAAGTCACATCAGTGCAAGAAATGTTTTTGAACAAAAAGAATAATGTCAATGTGTACATTAATAAATAAGGAACTAAATACCTGTTTGGAGCATTGATTCCATGGACAATACTCTTGGTCTATGATAACAGGGTTCGAAACATTGTCCATGGTAATATCTTCAAATTTCATGTCTGTAACTGTAATTGTTCCTGGCTGATTAGGCCAAGTCTTAATCCTCACTCCATTGGTAGTTCCTTTCAAAGTGCAACCCTTAACTGTGACACCTTCAACAGGCTCTTCTTCCTTGTATTTGCCAAGGCTTCCAATACTAATACCATGACCAGGTCCACATGTCACATTTTGCACAAGTATTTGTCTACTACCGTCACCTAGTGAGACACAATCATCTCCAGTGGCAATCTGTGTATTAAGAACATTCACACCGGTGGATCTTCCAATGTGGATGCCATCGGTGTTGGCACTATCACCTGGAGCAGTTACTTTAAACCCATCAAATGTGAAATTGTTGCAGCCCAAAACATTGACATGAAAGTGTTTACTATCCTTGGTTGTGATTCCACGAACTATTGAATTGTTGATGAAATTGAAACCCAAATTCTGTTGACATTTGATAAAAGAATATAAAAAATAATGAAATTTAATTTTTTATAAATGCACAAGTCGTGTAATATTTTATTTGATTTTTTATAATAATACTTATTTACCATGCCAAGCAATTTGCATTTGAATTGTTTTGAACAGTCATTCTGTTTCCAAGCATATGAACCTTGACCATCAAAAACTCCATTACCAGATATGGTTAAGGAATTAACATAGCCGATCTTAAGCAATTGATCACCTCCAACGTCCTCTGGCTTTACAGGTGCTTTAATTGTGCCGTCAACTTGAATTTCAATAGGAGCCTTGCAAGGACCTTTTACATCTACATGAGTCATTTGATATGTTCCACTTGGAATCACTATTTTAACAGCAGTTGTGGATGCACATGCTTCAGCCCAAGCACTTGTAAGAGCCTAGTCAATATAAAAATAATACATTAGTGAAACACATTGTAATAGTAATTTTGATATTTCAAGAGTAACTGATTGAACTAAAATAAAATTAATATGTTCTTTTTCAAGACTTGCAGTGAAATGTGTTCTTTTTGTCATCAAAACAATACCATATATTTCTTGTTCAATCTAAAATGGCATACCTTAGCTATATCTTGATTTGGTTTTCCTCCAAATTTTGATATTTCAAGAGTAACTGATTGAACTAAAATAAAATTAATGGTAGAAAAAGATAAAAGTAATATAATCATAGAGAAGTTCATATTTTTTTTTTCTTGTTTTTGATTGTTCTACACTTTTACTTGTGTGTTGAGTGATTTAATTTTCAAACTACATAACTTTATTTATAGTCACCTAGAATGAATTAAAGACCATTAATATTATAAGCAACTTGAATGCAAATTATCATCCACATGTGTATTTTCTTTTTTTAGTTGTTAGTATATATTTAGGATGCACTTATTTAGTATTAACTTTACACCACCTATTATCATCCTATTTTTATATTCCTCGTGTAAGCGATCAATGTTGAAAAAATAATTTAAAAGTAATATGTTTTGATTGAGTCAGATGTTTTAAATTCATGACATAGTTTAGTTACGAGAATGAAATTTCTAATGCTCGTTTTATTTAGATAAAATTGTATTAAAATTTTAATAATATATTTAATTGAAAAATATTAATTGAATTATTTAGCATAATAAAAGTTTTATTCCATTAAAATTAGTAAACTCATTATTATAATAATCTAATTAAATTATATTATAATAAAAATTGAACCATTTATGTAAGAACCCAGAAAATAGCCTCTTAAGAGTAAATATATGTATTAAAGTAATGAGACTGAGCATTTGTGTTAAAATAAGCAAACAGTATAAATAGAAATTTACAACACTCGGTTCATTATCTAAATACTTTCTATCTCTCTAAAAACACTATTCTCTACTCTTCCTCTCCCTTCTCTCTAGATTTTCTCACGGGAGGTTCATATGTTCGACGATCAGGAGGCACCTAAGTGATCCTGGCGTCAAGAGCTTCCTGTTTTACCATTTGGTTTAGCGTTTAGAACTGGTAAGTCTCATTCTCTGGTTTTTAGTGATTTCGGGTTTAGCTGCATGCAAGGAACAATTTTGTTTGCATGTGTTCCGCATTTTCCTTCTTCCATTTCTGTCTCCATTCTTGGTCCTTTGGTTGGTCTCTTCTCACCAATCGGTGAATTATAGGTGTTCTTAGGATTTCTGGAGGTGTAAGAAAATTCCTGAAGGTTGTAGAAGTTGTTCGGTTCGGTTAGAGGTAAGGGAAGCTAGTTAATTTAATTTATTGTTATGCGGCTGATTTTGAAATTGTGAATGCTGTTTGAGGTTTGCATGTGTATGAAATTGTGTTCGGTGATGATTGGAAATGCTTCGATGGATTG